AGAGCCAGGCGGATCTCTGTGAGTTCGAGGCCAGCCTGGGCTACCAAGTGAGCTCCAGGAAAGGCGCAAAGCTACGCAGAGAAACCCTGTCTCAAAAAAACCAAAAAAAAAGAAAAAAAAAATGGTGTTATTACATTTTTTTCCAGTGTAACTTCTGGTTCAAATATGGTTCCCTCCTTCTGTTGCCTTTGAAAAGCAAACATTCTGAAGATGCATAAGAAGAGGTGAGCTGTGCATCCCAAAGGAAATGTGTATCCCCAGATGTGGAGACAGCACCTAGTAAGCACCAGACACTGAACAAGGAGATAAATACCGTTGGGAAGACACAACTTATCCAAAAAACTCCTGACCTGATAGAAAGAGGGCTACAATCCTCGTGCCTAGGACTGTGGGGCACATGGACAAGGAGAAGGATAATAATAGGGGCAGGAAATCAGGATCACTCCTCAGCATAAGAGAAAAAAACAAGCGAAACCTCAAAGGACAAACAGGATTATCAGAGTAAAGAGTGGAGAATGGAAAGATGGTAAAAATGCATGGAGGCTGACTAATGGAGACCAGTGTGAAGACAGCCAGACAACCAGTTAGACAAGACTTCAGAGTTACGAGGACAGAGGTGATGACAATCATCTTTGATTGACAAGGCATTGTATAAAAGTCAAATGTGACACAGAGCTGACCCAGGGTTGTTTGGTTGGTTTCTCTACATGGCACACAGGTGGCTCACATCTAGCCACAACCCTTCCCTGGTCTCTGGCTGAGAGCCTCTAATGGAGGAGAGCCTCCATGCTCAAAGCACTCGTAAGAACTCTACATCCAGATGTGAAGCAGTCAGAGGTGAAAAGTTTCCTCAGGGAAAACCAACGCCATGTCTTCATGCCTATCCTTGGGAGAGGGAAAATCCAGGGAAGCTCCTTTTAGAGATGGTACTGGAAGGGACAGAGAAAGGAAACATGATGTTTTTGACAGAAAGAACAGCCTGAATGTGAGATAAGGAAGTGAATGTCTCTCACTTGCGCTCAAAATAGGCGAATCCTGCCTACCCTCTAAATTCTAACTCACTTTCTTTCTTTCTATGGCATCCACTCAAATAATTACTGGGTAGAGATGTTGGACTTTTATATTTGGATAGTGTGTGTGTGTGGGGGGGTGGTCACATGTACTCTATTGAATGTATATATAGCCAATAAATCTCTCGCTATGTGTGTAAGTATATACACATATATTTATAATACATACATATATACATACACACATAAGAATAGATGCTTAGATGAAGAGATGCATGTGCTAGCTGTAAACTTATATCTGGATAACAAAGGAAGTACGTTATCCAAGAACAGGAAGCTGACTACCAGCAGTCAGTGATACACTTTGACTGGGAATGTTTATAGGCTGGAAGGTGCTGGTGCACACACCCTCCGCATCTGAGTCTTTGGCATGGAGCCTGAAAGTGTGAGGGTTTGGATGCAGCTTCATGGCTGCATCCCCACCTTGACAGGGTGGATAAAATTACAAAGAAAGTACAACTAAAGGCAACAGGTAGGTTGAGAGCAGACAGGGTTCTAGGATTGGGTGTTTACTCTTCCTCTCTGGTCAGCAAAGGCCTTGACAGGGAAGTCATTAGCATCCACTCCTGAAGCTTGTCTTCATTGACTTCTCTTGGGCTTTAGCCTGTTGCCCTTCAAATGCCTGGAGATAGAAGACTGAACCTGGAGATGGATTAGCCTTCTTTTCCAATTCTAAAGATTCTGGGATCATTTTCAGGGGTTATTCTGTTTGTTTGGGCAGAGTTGGTTCTTCATTTCTATAGTTCCCAGCTTCCCCCAAGCCCCCATCCATTTAAAGGAATGCCAATGTCTGTATTCCTACCCAAGAGTCTCCTCCCAAAGTTAAGTTACTAATTAGAAATTATTTATACCCCTGAACATATGCAGGCATACTCCTGCTCAGCATGCTGTTCGCATGAGCACCCTGATTCACACCCGCTGCTCTTTAAATGTCCCCATCACTCTGGCTCTCTAGGCTGATTTCCACAGGCACCCACCCCTTGAATCCTCCATCTGAACAGCTCTCCTAATCAATGCGTGCCAGAACCCAGTTACCTCTGCTCCATCCATCTTCCTAAGGGTCCTTTGTCATTGGTCAGTAGTGCACTGGGGAAAATCATGATGGAAACGCCTTCCACCACTCTTACCATGAAGGAAGAGCTGGCAATGACTGCAGAGGGCCAGAGCTTTTCACTATGAGAGGGTTCTTAAGATGTCATATAGACTTCAACGTCACGCACGAGCACACACACACACACACACACACACACACACACACACACACACACAGCCTTGTCAGAATAATACAACAGAACTATTACATTTTGCTATCTTCCTGAGTCAAGGGACATGTACAGAGGTAACTGTAAGTCCTGGTGCTGATGTCCCTATCAATAGCTTTTGTCTGACTGTTGTAACATCTTCTCATTTTAAAGAACACCTTTAATCAGCTGTAAAAACAAAGCCAAAGAGATGTGCTTAGAGCTTGGAGTGAAGGAGAAAGTCTGATAGAGAATGCTGGGACAATTAAATCCGTTGTTACCCTTCCAGCTTACAAATTGGAATCACCTGCTAAGGGTGTGCCTGGCTCATTCCCCCGCTCCCCTCCAGCCTGATTAGGATTCTAGACAACTGACTCCTGCTTCTGAACATGCATCAAGTAAACTCCCTGATCTGCAAGCCGATTCACATAACAGCCTCCCTAATAAAGCATGAGGCACAGCTGTCTGAGCACATCTGTTTTCTTGTAGATCTCCAGAAAATCCTAAGAAAACAGGAGAGGCAGAGGCAACCTTGACCCAAAATGTCTCCATCTTCCTTCTGCAAGGAGGCTCAGTGTAAAAAAACAGAGACCTAAACATCCTGGGAGTGCTAATGTTAGAGCTGGATTCAGATATAGAATTCATCATGAAGTTTTTTAATTCCTGTAGTGAGTAACCACTGGGTGAGGTTGTGGTGAGGGTGCTAAGGATGTGAGAGAAGAAAGGATGTGAAAGGTGGTAGAAATCATACACTGTGGAGGTAATATCCCAGGAGTGACTTGTCCATTGTAAGCAGGAAAAGACTTAGGGCCATCAATAGCTAAGAATGTATAAAAGGATGAAAAGCCAAGGAGCACTCCATAGCAGAACAGTCCTGAAGCCAAGAATCCAGGGAGCTATTAGGAAATAAAGGGAAAAGTTGGCTCTAGGTTGTTCAATATATTATGTTTGCTCTCATACAGTTTCAGTCCACAGTTCTGTTGAGTGTACTGTCACTTTACTCATACTTTTCCCAGCCACTAACAGGGGCTGGGCTGTCTTTCATTATTGCTTAAAATACTATTTACCAGCTATTCCAACTCTGCTCCAGGCTCCTCAAAGGCAAAATGCCATGTTGCTTTAATCAGTGACAATGGGAAGCCCAAAATCTCTAAATGGAAGAATGCAAGCTTGGCAATGACACATTTTCAATATCTTATACCCTTTCCCAGAATACATCTGGCTGAGACCAATCCCCACTTACCTGAGGATCTTCTGATTCCTAGCTATTATTTCTGTCCAAATGAATGATTTCTTGAGACTGTTTCAGGTTAGAGACTGCAAGCAAAATGGTAAAATGCCTATTACAGTGTCGGATATGTACAAGGGATGGAATTGTTTGTCTGATAAAACTATTTCTTATTATCAGTTATAGCTAGAAATTTGGGTTAAAGCTTTAGAAAGATCAGGGAATTATGGAAAGCCATGAGCTAACCTCACCTCACCAACTCCACAGCTTCCAAAGAGCGTCACTTCCTGTCTACCCAGGCTTATATGCCTTGGTTTTCTGCCCTGTCATTGGCTCTTAGCCCAGCTACTGCACTGACTCTTCATACTCAGCTCTGTCACTGTCTGTCTGTCCGTATAGACCTCCAGGTCTCAATGGTTGGTACTGGGATTAAAGGCGTGTGTCACCACACTTGGCTTTGTTCCCTAGTGTGGCCTTGAACACACAGAGATCCTGCCTGCTAAGGGATTAAGGGAATGTGCTGCCTGACTTCTTTGTTTACTTAAAATGGATGGCTTTTTCTCCCTGATCTCCAGGCAAGTTTTATTAATTCACAAACAAAATATTACCACAACCAGTAGATCACAACTTATAGATAATAGTGTGTATTTTTCTGAAAATTGTTATTTTTATGTTGTGCATAGGCACACACATGCACACAGATGATCATGCAGGACTGTGTTGCCAATGGAAATGGAATGTATAATTATTACAACTGATTATTCTAAGACAAACAGTTGAATGCCTAGCAGACGAACCTCTGAGAGCAAAGATAAACTATACTTGAATTTAGGTCAAGAATCTGATGAAGTGAAAAGATGAATATATGGGGACAGGGTTCGGGAATGTTTCCCCATTCAACAAACTAAGAACAAGATCCAACTGTGTTTCTCACAAGTTCCTAGTATATTCTAAGGAAAGAGAGAATTCCCCTTCTTCCCTGAGAGTGGAGTGAATAGAAGTGGTTCATTGAGGTAGATATATTTTGTGATCTTAGAGCCACTGGGCAACTACTGTGAGAATGGAAAGTCAGATGAGTGGGGCTGGCTTAGATGGTAGAGTGCTTACCAAGCACACACAAAGCCCAGAGTGTCATCCCCAGCCCCACAAAACTGAATGTGGTAGTACATATCTGCAATCCCAGAGTTCAAGATGATATTTATTGTAGAAGGATCAAACTTCAAGATCATTGTAAACCATGTAGTGAGTTTTGAGGACACATTGGCTTAGGAGACCCTGTCTTAAATAATGGCAACTGGAAACCAAAACAAAAATCAGATGAATGGAATCCCTCCTACTCAAACCTAAGTGCTGGTTTGAAGAGCCAGACAAAACTAGCCCAAGAACATAAAATATCAAGAAGACTCTAGAGCAGTGGTTCTCAACCTTCCTAGTGCTGTGACCCTTTAATATAGTTCCTCATGTTGTGGGGACCCCCAATCATAAAATTACTTTTGTTGATACTTCATAACTGTAATTTTGCTACTGTTATGAATTGTAAATATCTGTGTTTTCTAGTGGTCTTAGGCAACCCCTGTGAAAGGGTCCTCAACTCATAGTTTGAGAGCCAATGCTCTAGACTGAGCATAGGAAATAAGACCTTTCAAGAAAAGAGGACTCTAAAGGAGAGAACTGATACTTTTAGTGAGTTCCGTGACTGTCGACAGCATGCAGTAAGGGTTATCTTAAGTGGCAAGAAGCACCAGATTGACCCAGATCTTTGATTCTTAAGCTTAAGCCTACTCAAGGCAAGTTGCTGCCTTCTCCACAGCCTTCATTTTATAACTGTGAAGTTTTCTTTTCTCAGAGAACTCACACTTTATCATGTGTCCCCTTTCCACTAAAGGGATATTAAAGTCATATTAAAATATTTCAAGAATCCTTTTTTTTTTTATGGAAGCCTAACAAACTTGTGTAGAGACAACAGAAAGAATAATATAATTTTGTTCAATTTTGCTCAAGTGGAAAAATTTGAAAACCAGAAAGAAATGGCTAATTTCAGGAAAATTAAAATTAGCAAATTGATCACAGAGAAAATAAACAACTTGAACAGAATAATTACCAAAGAAGAATTTTGACTTTTGAAAAACAATGTCAAAAAGCTCCTGTAAGAAAAATGAAAGCCAATTTATTTCACAGACTAATTCTGTATAATGTGTAACATATGTCTGCAGTGTTTCTTTAAACTGTTCCCGACCATTTCTAAATGACTGCTGTAAAATTAGAACAGCATTGATTAGAATGCCTGACAAATTGAGAACAAAACATATCCACAGACCAGTTTCCCTGAGAGATGTCAATGCATGCTTCTTGAAGAGAATATAGAATACAGAACCAGGCAAGAAATGAAAAGAATAATTACCCACAACTAAGTGGTGATTTTTCTAAGAATGCAAGGATGGCTTAACTTTATTAATATATTGGGTCAGGATAAAACTTCCATAAATGCTGTAAGAGATTTTCTCAAAAATTCAACATTCTTTCTTGACTTAAAATGTTTTAAACACTCACTTCCTCATTATGATAATAACTTTATATATTTCAAATCAAAAGCTTCATTATTAATGGAAAAAATATTAGAGCCTCCATTTTTAATGTAAGGGACTAAACGATAGTGTTCAACTTTGTACTGTCACTTAATATGAGTTAAGATATTATTCAATATAACACAAAATAGGAATACAAGTAGAAAAGGAAGAAAAATATTTGCACCATTTAAAGGCTATATGCCTGAATAACAGAAAATTTCTGGAAAAGTCAACTAAAATTTTTGTTGTAAAAGATGAAGGAATTAAGGAACAATACAGAAGTTCTATACTTTTCTCATGTCATTGGGAGCTCTGGAAAACAAAGATGTCTATGTACAATATTTCTGACAAATTGAGTCACCTTTCAAGGACTTTAACAGATGTATAGGATGCATACTAAGAGACTACGGACTGTCATGTGAGACAAAAGGGCAGATGAGTAAATGCAAAGATAGGCTAATAGCTCTTGGGAACACTCAGTAAGATAAAGATATTACTTCCCTTTAAATTACTCTATAACTTTAAAATTAGCTTACCAACTACATCCACTTTTAGGCAGGCTAACTTTAACACACACACAAACAAATTTGTAATAAACTTCAGGAAGAAAAAGACAAAAGAAAGGCCACAATACGATCTATCAGAAATTGAAATGCGTTGTCGCAAAGCTACAGCATTCAGCAGCATGGTGCATGGTTAAGAATAAGCTCTTACTGTTCCGACACAAGGAGTGCAATTAGTATTGCTCATATGTACATGGGAGTAGAGTTATCCACTGGGTCACAGGCTCAGGACTCAGTGTATTACAGGGAAAAAGAGAAAGAGAACATGAAATTGGAAGGGAAATGTGTTGGGGGAGGAAACTGGAGGGAAGTTCTTGGAGGGAGAGAATGGGGTGGTAAGATTAAGATGCATTGTATATATCTATGAAATCTTCACAAAATAAAAATATTATTAAAGAGAACAGAGAATAGAGAAATACAGTCAAATGTACTTAAGAGTGAAATATATATGAAAAATTGCTTTGCACATTCGTGTGGAAAGATGAATTATTCAATAAATATTCAAACAAAATAATAGTTATAACACCTGCTTCACATCCAAAAGATTCGTTAACAACTTAAGCATAAAACATGTACTAAAGGAAAACAAGAAGTGTTTAAAATAACTTCAATTTTCAGAATTGGCAATTATGGTTCATCACGTACTTTACTACATAAAATTAAAAAACAATCTCAGAGAAAAGGTGCCATTAAAATATTTCTACTCAAGATGGAGTTTGAAGTAATCATCAGTGAGATAAAAGAAAAACCAAAATCACCAAATTAGAAAGAAGGAAGTCAGATTGTCCCTCTTTGAGGATGAATGTTCTAGATCTAGAAAAACATGGAGATAAAAACCATTAGGATTAATATACAAATTCAGTAACTTTGCAGAATACAAAGTCAGCCCACAAAACCCAATAGCATTTCCAGGTCCTAACGGTGATTGTTCTGAAAAAGATGCCAAGAAAACAACTCAATTTATAATAACCATTAAAAAATTCCACCTGCAAATTAATTTAACCAGGTATATATAATTGTAAAAATCTATGTACAATGACAAGATACAAAAAAACCCATAATAATCTTGAGAGAGAAAAAGTAGGAAATAACATACCACTGCCTGACTTCAAAATACACTGTAAAGCTATAGTAACCAAAATAGGATTAAAGATAATAAAGCAGACTCATAAACCAATATATCAGAATGTTTCCTAGAAATAAATAAAAATACTTACAACTAATTTTCAACAAAGTTGCCAGGAATACATATTGGGAAAAGTACAGTCTTTTTAAAATAAATGTTATTGGGGAAAATAAACATCTAAACAACTCAAAATGAATTACAACTTAAATGTAACACTCAGAACTTTAAAATAACTAGAGAAAAACTCAAAGGAGTGCTTCATGAAATTGAGTAAGTCTTTAAAAGCACAGACAAGAAATCAAAGGGACAAATGGAATCACATTAAAATAAGCTAAGAAACAACATGTAGAATGGGAGAAAGCATGTGCATAGTATATATCTGAAAAGGAGTTGAAAATGTGAAATACACAGATAACTAACACAGCTTTGCTTTCCATGTGTGACAAGTACCTAAGAAAACAAACACAAGAGGAGGAAAGTTTTATTTGAGCCCAGAGTTTCATACATTTTTAGCTCTCATCTTTAAATTTATGTAAGGTAGTGCCTCATAGAAGATGTAACATCAAGGTACATATTTCAAAAATCAAGATACATCTTTTCTACCATTATACTTTAAGCACCAGGCAATACACTGAGAGAAGAAAAGTATGTAAAAGGACACAGATTGCCAAGGAAGAAATATCACCACATTTCTTCATGACACAACTCTCACTAAGGAAAAACATGATGAATTAAGGGGAACAGCAACAATAACTTTTGTAAATGATAAGTGGTTGTAGCCAGGTTATAAGATACAAAGGGAATATGCTAGACTGAATAACTTTCCCATGTTCT